CCACCCCCACCCCCAAAATCTGGTTTTGGTTGCAGTCACTTCAAGGTGTTGGGATAGAGGTTATTTATTCTAATAAAGCAAGAATCTTTTGGGGAAGCAAGTTTCAAGAAGCACTTGTAAAACTTGTAGGTTGAAAAATGGAATTTAGGGAACTTGATATTGAGAAGGATGAGTTTGAACTGAAAAAAACGATATTTAAACAAAGGGACTGCATGAAGGAATCATATAAAGATGAGTTTGAACAACTTCTGCTCATACAGATTGTGATGGATTATTTTTTTCTTTTAGTCAAGTCATTTTTTGCACCTTACAGTCACTGGATTTTGTGTGTATAGCTATATCCTATTTTGCTGATATTACTCGGCCATATTTGGAGCCTGCTGTTCCCAGTCTCTAATGCATCCACAATATTTATCAATATATGTGGTTTGGAACTGAAAAGCTTATGAAGTATCTCATATTAACTCTACAATTTTTTAAACCTTTCAAGAGATGACACGAATAAGGAAGAAGATGAAGATGAAGAAGAAGCAGAGGAGGAGGAAGAGGAGGAGGAGGAGGAAGAAGACAACAATAACAATGAGGAAGAAGAGTTTGAATGCTATCCACCAGGCATGAAAGTCCAAGTGCGGTATGGAAGAGGGAAAAATCAAAAAATGTATGAAGCTAGTATTAAAGATTCTGACATCGAAGGTGGAGAAGTCCTTTACTTGGTGCACTACTGTGGATGGAACGTGAGGTAACTTGAGTTTTAGTTAGTGATTACTTCTTGAATTACTTCTAAAATACACTTGTGTATTTTAAAAACTAAATGAATAGAGATCTGGAGTCCTAAACTTTCAGTGTTGGTGTTCTGTGAAGGTCATTGTAGTGTATGAAACTATTAGATTTTTAACACTATATAAATGCAGTACTTTAGTTACTTAGAAAATCATCTTAAAATTACTTGTTCAAAGAACGCTTCCTTCATTCCCATCTTATTTTTAGATCTCTCCATACAACAAATGACAGCTCACTCTTTCACAAATTCCTCCTCTGGCTCTCTTAAGCCAATTTTATCTCATACAATATTTGAATAGTGCATTTAGCTGAGTCTTTGTACACACTCTTCTCAGTGAAGCAGAGAGTACACTAGCAGTATGGTATTTAACAAGAGAAGTACAAGATTTTTACTGGCGAATTAGTGTGCAGCAAATAATTGCATTTCATTCAGATCTGATTTCCACCCCTCCCCACCCCTCCTTCCCCCATGGCTGCCTCAGGCTTCCATACAAGACTCATCTTAGCCTAGTGGCTTCTTATGCTTTTCTTAATATATGCAGGAGTATATGCTTTTTATTGTCTTTAATACAGCGTTAATAGAAATAAGTTAAAGTATTAATATATTTTTGCCATTTCAGACCACTTTTTTTGCCATTTAAAACTTGAAGTAACTTTGAAAACAGTAGAGAAAACTAAAGCTTCTGAGTGGCTTTTAAGCCACCAAGTCTCCTGCTTTTTTCCTCAGTTTTAGTGTATCTGCTCGTTGTCCTCAGTTGCCATCTTTTAAACTTTATTACTGTGTTTATAGATCTTTAAAAAAAACAAGTCTGAGGCAAATCTGCTGTACTTTTTATTTATTATTCCTCTTCTGAAAAATCTGAGGCTCTCGTGACCTTCTTCTGTCATCTGGACTTTGATTACCATCCTACCTCTGACCAAGAGGGCAGGACAAATCTCATTTATTCAGTGCTAGCAAGATCTGCTAGCAAAGGTCACAGTTACAGAAGCATGATACTTCTCTCCCTCCCTTGAATACACCTCTTTGCATCTAGGCCTGGTGATTTCCAGGACCACCTAAGCCACTGCTGAGAAGAAACGTCTTGATATTGCCGGTTTTGATATCGATCTTTTGCAGAATTTTGATCTACATACGTATTGATCTACAGGAATATGATCTTTCACATAAACTGTCTTCAGGCAACATTTGTAAGCATAGTGGGCTATGAAGTCAAGATACTAGGGGGAGATGCAGCCTGCTCAAGGTGGGATTTGGAATGTGACTAGTGTTTCTGTCATTATTGGGTAGGACTTGCCTTAGGAGTGTAAGTTGCTGAAATTTGCATCCTACTCACTGAGGATTACTGTAGCATTCAAAGAGGTTCTTGCTTTTGAACTCTTGTTTTGGAATTCATGTGTAAACATAGAAGTTATTTTCCTTTTTGAGTAAATGCTATGGTATTATACATGCTATGAGGTGAGATGATCGGAGTTTTATTTGAGCGGTACCACTTTAAATATGAAGAAATGAGAAGTCAAAAATGAGCCTTCACCTTGGAGATCCCAGCACCCTGGTTCTTAAAGGAGAAATCAAGATTCTGTTTTTTGAACTCTGCATTTTAAACAAATCCATGGACTGATATCAGAGGCATTATTTCTGTGACTAGGATGTATTTGATAAGAAAAGCATTTTTAGTAAACTTGCACTCATTTGAGAGGTGAGGAGAGTTTGGTCTTTCTGGCAGCAGGACTTACATTTATATTCTTACCTGGGGTTTCAAAAGAGCCCTCTGAAAGGGGCTGGAAGAATAGGATTCTTCACTGAAAAAGACAGCAGTGATTGAGATTTAGCTATAAGACTGTGTGTGGACTCTGCTAAATGTGTAATTTAATTCAAGTAAAATTACTTAAATTTTTGGATTTGACAGTAAGAGTGGGTAAGCCTGAGCTTAAGGCAGCATCTAAACGCTTTGATATTCTAGTATTGTGAAGACAAGTCTTGTATGATGTAATAACTTGATTTGGATTTTAGTCAGTCACATCCTGGAAAAATAACTGCTTTACTTGGATAGGTAGCAATTCCCTCCTCTCCTTATTCATTGTAGCTACATTCCTTACTTTTAGTGTTTAGCAGGGACAAGTACTGTAATATTAGGTCATGGGATGTACTGAACTAGGATTTTCTAATCATCCAGGATTTTTTAAATTCTGTCATTCTCCTACCCCTTAAAGTTGACTTTCCTGTTTCCCCTTTTGGTCACTATGCCATTTAATGGCCTGTTCTTTAAACCCAGAAGTTTGAGCAGGAATCCTAAATAACTACTGATGTTTCTTATCACAAGGTAGCTTCGGTATCAGTCTGGGATTCAGAATAATTTTGTATGCGTGCACATGCTTTGGGGTACTTGAAATGAATTTTGGTAAACTTGGTATTCAGCTTTGTTAGGTTTTTTAAACACTCTGGAACCAGTGACACTAACCACTGTGGAGCTTTTTTTTAAAAATAATAAATAGAAAATACAGAAATGGAATATAGCTTAACAGCATCATACAGCTGCACTACTTTATGCTAAAGGATCTTGTTAGCTCCTGAGATTCAGGTGATATGTGTTTCTGATAAAGGTAAAGTATTGTAGTGTTCAGTGGAGCCTGACTTGTAGTGAAAGGGAATGGTAGAAATCTCTACCCTGTTAGAGAAAACTGTTTGCATTATCTCGTGTTAACCAGAAAAAGCTTATGAGAGAAACTGTATTTCTTTTAACAGGCCAGTCATGTTCTGAATCATGTATGTTTTATATGGAACTAAAACTTCCCTGGGGCCTACAGTGCCAGTTCCTTCTGTCATAATTTTAATTTTCAGCTGCCAGTGCAAAGAAAAGTTTATTGTATAAATGTTTGAGGTGAATTTCTTCTGCAGTATGTTCCCAGTAATTAAAGACAGAGGGTGCATATTCAAAAATAGTTTAGGTTGTTTTAATTCTGTGTCATATGGTACAGTATCACAAGGCATGTTATTCTTGAATGTTTCAAGTGTTTAAAACTAAGACTTGTTATTTTCAACATTTCTTTCTTTCCTTCAAAAGTCTGAATGTGAAAGTGCCAATTTCTGTCTCGGTTTGTTGAACCGTTAACAATATACAAATTTTATACTTAACAGTTAACCACTGAAATTAAGCGAACATGTGTAGCCAAATTTCAGGTTTCAAATTCTAGAGTAGTGTATGAGGGGGGGGAGAATTATTAATAAATAAATAAAATTAAAAAAATCAGAGTCCTCATCTTATATTTCAGTATTTGGTTATAAGACTAAATACCTTTCTTTGATCACAACCAAAGAAAACATTTGATTCTTCCTTGTTAGCAGATACAGACAGTATGCTGGAACTTTTCAGTGAACTTGCCAAGGCTTGCTAGTTCCTTGAGGTCACTTGTCTTCCTGAGAAAGTCGTACCTTTGCTAGTATAAATCTAGAGGCTGGAAAAGTACACTGTCTTCCATGTTTCCCCTCTAGTACTTCTGTGGAGGATTGACTGTGCAATCTCTGAGAATATGCTGTGATTTATTTTAGGTTGCAATCATATGGATGTAATAGAATCAGTACACACTCTTATGTGTAATTACTTTTTTCTGCTATATAGCTATTCATTTCATTCTTCCTTTTTTCCTTCCTTCCTTCCTTCCCATTCAAACCCACCTTTCTGGCAGGCATTCATTTTAACGAGTAATGCAGAAAAGCTTCTCTGCTTACTGGCTCATCTTTGTCTTCATTTTGGTAAGGCAAAGGGGATGTTTCTTCTGAAGGCATTCCAGGCTTTCATATGAAACCTTATTTAAAAAAATCAGTAAGTAATAATTTCTTATTAAATCCCTCCTCTTGGTTCTCAAACAAGTCTGTGCAAACTCTTTTAGGAACACCTCCCCATCTTACCTCCTTCCTCTCCACACCCAGCTGCTCGCTTTAGGGAGTTGAGGTAAGCAAGCGTGGAAGATGGCATTGCAGTAAAACGACCCAGGTCTTCTGGAACCACGTGCTTCTTGTAATGAGAGCTGAGGAACTTCTTTCATAATGTTTTTGGGTTTCTTTTGTTTTGTGAACAGGCTGACTAAAGCAAGATTAGTGATGAAGTAAGTATTCCTATTTTAATAAGGTGCAGTTCTATAAAGAAAGGCTCTAGTCTGAGTCACACACACTATTCAGATGCAGCTTGGCATCTGGCGTCTGTACAGCTTCCCGGGTACTTTTCTGTCATGCAGTAGAGGAGAATGTAATTTAGGTTCAGGTTGTCAGTTGTGGCTTGGGATGTATCCCTTTTGCAGGATCTGTTTCAGCCTAAGGTTCAATTGTCACAGGTTTAGACAAACCATATGCATCTGATGTGTGAGTAGTGAAAGGAGCTGTGCCATGCAAAGGTGTAAAGTGTGGGCATCTGATTCCCTGGAGAAGATTCAAGATTTCTGTGATGCTGGGCTTCCTTGCAGGGTCTGACTGCTGTTCCAGGTGCAGTCAGGAGTAGAGCAGGATATGCTCCAGCCAGGAGCTGTGGCTGTCACACATAGGTTTTCAATTTGTGCTTCTTGAGATGAGGAGTTGTAACCGCTGCTTCTAATACGTAACATTTAAAACCCTGTGGTATCTACAGATACTCTCGTAAGATTCTGCACTTCCTCTCTCCTTTGCTTCGGTATACCCCCTAGTCTATCAGCTGTCACCCCAACAGGCACTACAATTACCTTGAATCACGGGCAGTGTGTGCAGTGACTTTGCATAGAGAAGACTGTTTTCTTATTGGAAATGCATAGAATGAGTGAATACAAATTCTGTATTATAGCAACATGGTTGAGGCAGAAAGGATACTGTCAAGAGTAATTGCTTTTCACTGTGTATTTGTCCAGTCCTAGTGCTGTTTTCCTGCATGCATTTAGACCTAATGAAATACCCTTACATTTACGTGGGTTACAAAGTCCATTTGGCAATCTACTTAGCAGTATTCCTTCTGGAAAGCACGTCTTTGACTTGAATTACTTCAAACAGGGTTTCCCACAGTCTCACAGAATATGGGACTCTTCCATACTGGAAAGTACTCTGCAGAGTTGTATTTCAGTTTTGAAGAGAAATCTGAGCCTGTTCACCAACCTGTCACTTGATAATAGTACAATTACAGCTGTATCTGCAACAGAATAGGTAATCTTGGTATGTTGTAGTCTGCATGGTCTGCTGCTAGATTTTGTGATTTTTATTGTCATGTGGAGGGGGGAAAAAAACCCCAGGAAATTGTTTTGGAAAACTATTTTTCAGAGACTACTCCTACTTCATTTTTCACTGTATTATTATGTGAAATTTAAGTTAATAATAAAATACAGTATTTAGCTTCTGGAAACCCTTGCATAGATCTTAACTTAGAGCATACGGGAAGACAAGTTGGAAACTTGCATATTTTTCTCTAATCCTTTTTAATTTGTATGTCAATATTGTAGATATAATTGGCAGTAGTTGCAAAGAAGCTGAATTGGGACTGTATCAGCAGTTGTTGTATATATCAGAATGGTTGTCAAGTAAGCCCAGCTGGAAAGCCAGCATGGTCATGAGTGTGTTGTGCTCGGCTCCATCTTGTATTAGTTCTCTGGGTGTGTGGTGAGGTTTTTGGGGGTTTTGTTTGGGGTTTTTAGTTTGTTTGTTTGGGGGAGGGGGGGGGTGTTGGTGGGGTGTTTTTTTTTTTAGTTGTTTTGTTTTAAAGTTGGTTTCTTCCCCTTTGTTTTCATGTTTACCTAGGTGGGTCAGAATTTGTGTGGCTGTACATTGGGGCGAAAGTTAATGCATACTAATTTTTAACTGACGGTTCTTGAATTCACAGTTGAAATAGGACAGCAGATTATGCTTATTGGGAGAAAAAAAAAGTTGTTTCAATTGATTCTTGAGGTTTTTCAGAAATACACAATGAAACTGGCAAGTACAGTACCATAGTTACAATATATTCTTACTAAGAATGTACTTCTCTGGTCTTGGATTTGTATTTAAGAGGTCCAGCCTTAGATAATTAGACACCTGTTGTTAGTATGTTGCTGCTATTTAATATGTTTTTGTCTAGTATCATTCTGATATAAAATGGAAATATTTAACTGAAAACGAATTGAAAAGTGTTAGTGTTAAGTTAGTGACTTGAAAGTTAGTGACTCCTAAGTGTTAGTCACTCCAAATATCACTTTGCAGATATTCAGGCTCAAAAGAGTTTATTTTTGCTAACTGGTCATATTTTATGTAGTTGTAAGAATTTATTTTATTGTTAAGGTTCTACGGTATATATACAAAGTATAACTCTTGGAGATCCATACAGAATTATCCTTCTGGTAGTTTGTTTTACCTGTATGCATGGATTTCCCGCTGTTCAGTGCAGACTGGAAAAGTATCAGCTTTCACTCTTACCCATCAGTGTGAGAAAACCTTTGTCCTGTATGTCCCAGCATATAAAGAATTGAACCTTAGCTGAAACTCCACATGCTGAAAAGTACACAAATGACTTCTTTATTCAAATTCCATTTCGGTTTTTATATGGTTAATAATTTTCTTTTTCCTCCATTAATTTCTTTTATGATGTTGTGATTATCTGCTTAAAACCATAAATGTGTACAATTTTTTTTGCTTTTAGGTATGATGAATGGATAAAGGCAGACAAGATAGTGAGACCAGCTGATAAAAATGTACCAAAAATTAAGCATCGAAAGAAAATAAAGGTAGTTTCTCTCCCTTTTTCTCCCTTGTTCCCTCCAACTTTGGTTTAATATTTTCTTACATATTCCCAACCCTTTCTAACCTTTTCATTGGCCTACAAATGCTTGACTTGTAAAAATGGCTTCCTAGCCTTGTAAAAACTAGAACTTTTTTCGTCAGGTGTTTTTTTTTCCCCACTTTCGGGTGGGCAGGGGAAGCTTCTCTTTCCTTTTTTTCCTTTTTTTTTTTTTTTTTTTGTGAAATTTATGTATGCACTTATAGAAAACAAATGAGAAGGATCCATTTTATCATCAGTGGTGGGAGCCAAGTCTGGGGCATGAAATTTGGGAGTTCCCTCTGCTAATTCTGGAGAGCAAACCTATGACCAGTCCATGTATGTGTGACTATCATTTTATTTCATAGTATTTCTTTCAAAGTTCATTCTTTTAAAACTGATATTTAGGCTTAGGTTATGATATATTCCTTGGGCAGTAGGATCCAAGGAAGCTTTTCCTTCTGTCAGCACTCCTCCTACCTGCCCTGGCACTGTGGCCCCTGTGGAACCTGAGTTTTGTTCTAGAGCTCCCTGCCTGTTGTGACAGAGCAGGGTGTTGTAGCCCTGCCCTGCCACTGCTGAGCCTGGCCCTCCGGTGCCACTGCTCCTAGAGCATTGGCTGTTTTTGCTTTCCCATTTGTTTTAGTGTTGACAAAGTTCCTGTCTTCGGTATAAATGTCTTGGCACAGACCATAGAAAGGTATTTGTAATCTTTTAAACAAAGAGGAAAGCTTTCCTTTACAGGTTGAATGTTTAAGATAACGGTAAGCATTGCTTAATTGTAATCTATGTTAAGATGTATTCAAATGAGAAGAATTTTTAATCTTTTCTTTCACATAGAATAAAACTGACAAAGAGAAGGAAGAGAAGTATTCTCCTAAAAACTGTAAATTGCGACGTTTGTCAAAACCACCCTTTCACACCAGCACATCACCAGAGACTGGGTCCAAACTTGACAGCACTGAAGCCAAAAATACTGAACAAGCTCCAGTTAAATCAATAGAAATTACTTCTATAATTAATGGGCTACAAGGTATTGTACTTAAACTTCTTCTAATTTTGTAAATGGCCTTTAAACAGTAGTAAATGACAATGTAGAACAACTGATGCAACTGTACACTTGAGTCTGTCTGGCTAATTATAACATCAACTTCAGAAATAACCCTTGAACAAAAGCAATATTCGCAGTTTCTGAAAACAGGTGTTGTGGATTCAGTGTATGTTAACAGTCTTAAGAATTACATCCTTTGTTTTGCATCCTTTGTTTTGCATCCTTTTTCTGTTTGATACACAGCAAAGCATTTTTGCTTCCTATATTATTTCTAAATTTTTAATTCTTGATTTATGTAACTTTTAGGACCCTTTTTTTTATCTTTTTTTTAATCTTTTTTTTCTTCTTTTTTTTTCTTCTTTT